AATTTAGCTTACCTCCCAGTCTAGTAGTAGTTATAGTTGAAATTATTGCAATGCAGAAAATAGGGAGACCAAAAGGTGGGACAAAATACGTGCCAACACAACCACAAAACTGATTTCATTTTGTCCAAGTTACCCTAACAAGGAAAAGATTGTCCTTTTTTGCTTTCACTCTTACCATTTCTCACCACATCTAGTTTGTATCCTCACTCTTTAATGCTAAAGTTCAAATAATTGTCAACCGTTTCTGTTCAATAGAAAGTCATTCATAACTTAGAAATCCAAAAATCTAGAGCATAGTTGAACTACTAACGATATAAATCAACCAATTCGAAAGTGATTGGAGAATCATTTTCCTGTCTTACATAAGCGACAAAATGAAACCTTGAACAAGGACTTCGATAGGTAAAGACTTCAACTTTAACACTAATTCCGGCATATCAAATGAATCAATTCCCCAAACTCAAAAAAATAGGCAAAACCACAAAAAAAAAAAGATCTTAACTCCAGGAACCCGAAGTGCAAGGACATTAACACAAAATGCAGAAGTTAGAATACAACATCAAAGTACCTCAAAAAAAAATACCAAGAATTACCAAAAATCTACACTTTTCCACAAGCCCAGAAGACAAATTTTAACTTTATCAAGAAATAAAGGAGTAAATTACAAAAACATTGAGGGTTTTAAAGCTCACCAACAACTTTTGATGATCCTTCTGGCCCCATTTCGTGCTGCATTGAGAAGGCAAAACCAGGTGGGTTCTTTAGTCCCAAAGCAAAATTTTCTAGATTTGACCAAAAATGCAGGGTTAACCCCTGCAGAGAAGGGAGGAATTTAATATTAGGTGGTGGGTTTGGAAAGTGGGGAAGGTTTGTACTTTGGAGAGAGAGATGAGGGAGGCTGGGCAAAGGAAGATATTTGGAAAGTGATAATGACTGAATTTAATGTTGCTGTTGTTGTTTGTTTAAAAGGGTTCATCACGAGAAGTCGTGAGGTACAGTGTGCGTTTTGCAACAGTTCAGCTCCTAATATTTTACTTTTCGCATTTTATCCCCCCGTCTGCTAGTCAAAGCAAATATGTAGCAATGGTTCTGATAGTTATCCTCAAAAGGACAATAATATCCCCAAAAACTAATGGACAAACATAAAACCATAAATATACAGAGGTTCAGGTTGAATATAGCACATAAACATTTGGCAACCTGCTGATAATTAATACCAAAAGGACAATGATATCCCTGAAAAAAATGAACAAATATAAATGCACCGATGTTCGGGCCGGATATAGCACTTTTCTCTCTACCTTTGCTTAAAGTTTTGAGTCTATTCATTTGAAATAATTACGTACATGATGATTCTAAATTAAAAAAAATTATATTTTAAATTATTTTTCTAAAAAGTATAAAAAATAATTAGTTTATCATAAAAGTCAAACCTTATAATTTGAATATCCAAGAAATCTATTTCCAAAGCTTTTCAATGTCTAAAATCTTTTCAATTGTGCTATTTTACCATATTCACAGGTTTCTTGGACTGGTTCTTCTATATGATGTGATGGACAACATCTAGAGCAAGAGCAAGGGAATGGGTTTGAAAAAGCTTGGGACATTTTTTTTTTGTTTTGGTTACAAATGTTGCAGATGAGGGAGAGAAAATTTTTTATGTGATGAATGTTGAAAACATATTAGAAAACTCATGGGGATCATTTCTTTATAGAACATGAAGAGTGCCATTTCCATCAAAAATTTTAACTACTAAAATGGGTGTTATTTTCGTCTACTTACTGAGGTGGATTGATGGATTGATGGAGGGGATAAAGTAAGAAAAATAATATGTTAGAGGTAAAATGCAAAATATACCAAACCTCAACGGGACTTCTTATGATTAACCCTTTGTTTAAAAGTGAGCTAAGTCAAGTAATGGAAACATGAATGAGTCATAAAATGCTTAACTCTACATTGCCCCGTTTGATAAATAAGTTTTTTTTGATATTTGTTTAAAATTTTATTGTACTTATGGTAGAAGTTGTAGGAAAATTTTTAAGATGGAAAACTTTTTTTTTTTCTTTCTTTCTCTTTCTCTTTCTTTTTCTTTTTTCTTTTCTTTCCTCTCTTCTTCTTCTTCTCCCTTCCCCCTCCCCCGAGCTAGAAGTTGTAGCAGCAAAAACTTTTTTTTTTTTGCTTTCTTTTCTCTTTCTTTCTCTTCTCCCTCTCCCTCTCCTCCTTTCCCCTCCCCTCCCTTCTCCCCCGCCATTTCTCTTCCCCCCTCCCTCTTCCCCCGATCGAGCGGGGGGAGGGGAAAAGAGGTGGCAGAGTAAGGAAAAAGGGGGAAAAAAAGGTGGCGGGAAGGAGGAGAGGAGAGGGAAGAGGGAGATGCCGGCCAGTGGTTGCTGGCGGCGGAGGTGGTGATGGGTTGAAGTGGGGGAAAAAGAAGAAGAAAAGAATAAAGGAAAATGTTTTTGTGTGTTTTTTAGTATTTTAAAGTGTGTAGTTTAAAAATTTTAAAAATTTTTTAAAATTATCGTTGATAAAGTTGTTATAAAATTGGTAGGAAACAAATTTGGACAAAAACTCATTTGCCAAACAAGCCCAAATGTCGGCTTCAATTCTTCATAGAGTTTATCTTTGTATGTAACCATACGTAACCGAAAAAAGAGTTTATCTTTATCATGTCAAAAATTTTGGTCATATGCCACATGGAAATATATAGAGAAAATAATACACGTATCATTAATAAGTTTAGAATAGCTCATGTAAGCTTTTTTCACTTTATTTGGATAGTAATTTTTTTTCAAAAAATGTTTACATTTTTTGGGAACACATTTTTCAGTCACTATTTTTACTTTATGTATATTAAATCACTACAATATATTTTTCAATAAAAAAACTTCAGAAAATAGCAATTCAAACGGGCATAATAGTGAAACACATAGAGAAGATTTATTACACTAAAAAAATAGAGATATTTGCAGATTATCTTTTTCTTTACTTATTTGCACAGTTTGGGATGACGGGGAATAACACAAGAAAACAAATATCCCATTCGAATGCTTTTGCTTTGCTTCTTGGTTTTCCTTCCCATCCATCAATAGTATAGAAATTCAAGATTGTAGCATTTGATATGACATCTTAGCTTTTCATTGTGAGGTTATCTGTCAAATTCTTTCCTAATAGGCCAATAGTTCACGATTTGAATTAGAACAATAGTCATAGCAAAATTTGGCAGGTGTTGCATTTAGACCACAAGATGAATGTACCATTAGTAAAGTAGAGGTTCCTTGCTGAATGCTTGATATACAGCAAACTAACTACTGCTAAGGGGAAAAGGGATAAGGATATTGATGTTCAAACAAGAAGCATAAAGAAGACAAGTTTGTTACTATTCCATCCACTGTAATAAGATCAAGTTGGAACTTGGAAAGAGGGAAAAAAAAGGGCAGCAAGTTCAAATACTTCAAAGAATAAAAGTAATGCTATAAAGCCAATTGTGGAGTGTAGATGCAAGCAAGTTACATAAGATTAGACTAGCGAGTGTTAAATAAATCTCCTAAAGGATTTAAACTAGGAGTATAATCGAGTCAGAGTCGATCCTAATTAACGTATTGCTTAAACTCGACTCGAGATAAAGAAAAACTTTAGAATAGACTAGATTAGAACCACATATTGTTTATCTATTGCCAATATGAATCTTAGTGCTTGAAACCAAATTGTGGAGTGTAGATGCAAGCAACTTACATAAGATTGATTAGAAGTGTTGAACAAACCTCCTAAAAGCAAAGGACCTAAACAAGTGGCTTCTGTTTCTTGTTAGAGACAGAAAATACAAATGCCACACCTTTGCTGGCAATACAATTGTGATAAGAGACAAAAGAGTTGACTGACAGACAAGAATATTCTTAGAATTTTTTACCCAATTCAACTGCTCCACGCAATTCAACTGCTCCATTCCCTATATTTTTAAAATTTTCCGGTCCACCTTGTCTACAATGTTTCCTCTCTCTTACCATTTTCATTTTCCAAATTACACCTCCTCCAAGTCCCCACTCTAATTTCCATATCTAAAGCAAAGGGCCCTCAAACCCCTATCCATACCCGTATCCGAATCTAAACGGCTAAAAACCCGCCACCATCTCAAAGTCATGGCAACCACAACCGCCAACCCTCCACCGCCTCAACCCGACCCGACCACCCAAAGTACGCGTCTCCAAGAAATCAAGCAATTCGATGAATCCAAAATCGGAGTCAAAGGCCTGGTTGACCGCGGCCTACCCGCCATTCCCTCCTTCTTCATCCACCCCAAGCCAGCCGAACTAAACCCGAAAGACCCGAATAACAGACCCGGCACGAAGCCCACCATCCCCGTCATAGACTTCTCCTCTTCCAGGTCGACGATCGTTGACGAAATCCGGCGAGCATCTTCTACACTGGGGTTCTTCCAAATCATCAACCACTCCGTCCCAGTTGCCTCAATCAAGAAAATCTTGGGTTCAATTCAAGAGTTTTACGAGCTGCCGGAAGATGAAAAAATGGAGTATTATACCCGGGATATGTCACGTGGGGCGGCTTATTCCACAAATTTCGATCTCTACCAATCAAAGGCCGCCAGCTGGAGGGACACCTTCCAGATGGGCTTGGCCCCAAACCCGCCGAAATGGGAGAACGTGCCGTTCAGCTGCCGGGAGGCAGTGGCGGGATGGGACAAAGAGGTGGTGAAAATATCCGAGGAAGTTTTGGAAATCTTATCTGAAGGGTTGGGACTGGACAAGAAGGATAAATTGAAGGAATTGTCAGATGGGAGAGTTATGGCTGCCCATTACTACCCGTACTGCCCTCAGGCGGAATTGACGGCTGGGCTGACGTCACATACTGATCCGGGGCTGCTGACCGTGCTGGTGCAGAATGAAGTGCCCGGGTTGCAGGTCAAAGTGGGAGAAGATTGGGTGGACGTGGTGCCTGTAGATGGCGCAATTGTGTTTAACATTGGGGATAATCTTCAGGTATAAACTTTAAAGTTTAAGCTTGCATTTTTGTGCTTTTTCTTTCTTAATTTTTGTTCGTTTAGATAGCTTTTTTTTGAAGGGCGCTAAGAGATAAAAAAGTAGGTGAGATATGTGTTCATAGAAAAATTAAAAATTTTTTGATAAGAAATGACAATATGAACAAGAGTATAGCATCTCACAAATATGTGCACATTATAAAGTAGCTTTATGTGTTGTTTGAGAATAAATTATTAAACAAATAAAATAGTTGAAGCATTATTATATTTGCTCCATGTTCAATTCAACCACTCTAGATTTTTTTTTTTTTTTTTTTTTTTGGGGCTCCTGTTCTGCCTGATTTCTTCGTCTACCTTATGTACAATGCTTCCCCTCCCCTACCATTTTTATTCTCCAGACCACCAAATACCTCTATTCTTCTCCTTCTGATCTCTGTGATAACACACTCAAACCCCTACCTGTACCCTTGCTTGAATGTAAAAGGAGAAAAATCCACTGCCCTGATTCCTAAACGCTCAAAACCCGAATGGAGACCACAGCTGCCAACCCTCCTCCTCAATCTGACATGACTAACCGAAACACCCGTCTTCAAGAAATCAAACACTTTGATGAGTCTAAAATCGGAGTCAAAGGCCTTGTTGATCGTGGCCTAGAAAGCATCCCTTCCTTCTTCATTCATCCCTACCCACCCAAACCAAACCAGAAACCTTCCCCAACCAGAAAGGCTGATCCAAATTGCACACCTGGCCTGATACCTACCATCCCCGTTATAGATTTCTTCTCACCCCGCTCAACCCTTGTTGACCAAGTCCGCCGAGCCTCTTCTTCACTAGGCTTCTTCCAAATCATCAACCACTCAGTCTCATTGTCATCAATCACCAAAATCTTGAGCTCAATGCAAGATTTTTTTGAGCTGCCAGAAAATGTAAAAAAGGGGTATTATTCGAGGGATATGTCACGTGGGGCAGCCTACTTGACAAACTTTGATCTCTATCGATCAGAAGCCGCCAGCTGGCGCGACACCTTCCAGATGAACTTATCTCCTAGACCACCAAAATGGGAAAATGTCCCAGTCATGTGCCGGGAGGTGGTGGTGGAGTGGGATAAAGAAGTGGTGAAAATATCTGAGGAAATTATGGGAATTTTGTTTGAAGGTTTGGGATTGGAAAAGAGTAATAATAAGTTGTGGGAGATTTCAGGTGGGAGGGTTATGGCTGCCCATTACTATCCATATTGCCCACAGCCGGAATTGACTGATGGGTTGACATCACATACTGACCTGAGGCTGCTGACTATGCTGGTGCAAAATGAGGTGCCGGGGTTGCAAGTCAAAATTGGGGAGGGGTGGGTTGATGTGGAGCCTGTGAAGGGTGCTATTTTGTTCAATATTGGGGATCTTTTCCAGGTATAAGTAGAAGTTAAGTTAGCTATATTGCCTGTCCAAAATTTTATGCATCAGCGAGATTCTTTTAGCCCAAGTACTGATTCACACTGCGAAATCTCAAACCTACATACTTTGGACTTTGAAACTTGAGTACCTCTATTATCAAAAGTTCATGTAATACAGCACAATTATACAATTTTATTATTAAGTGCGAGACTTTCGACCAAAAATCCCTGCTTATTGAAATCTTCGTTTGTGAAACAAAGTTCCTGGAAACGCTTCTAGGATGAAATATCTCTCTTACATGAGTTAGGGTTGTAATAAAATATTTGCACGAATTATTAGTAGCCGAGTGAAGAAAGTAGGATTGCAATTGATCAATGGAGCAAATATACTGCATGAGGCTTACTATTGCATAGTCTAAGAACGTGACATGTACACTGGATATTACGAATTAAGCAGATAGTTTGATGATATCCATGGTTGAGATACACCCAACAAATTTAACAAATTTTTACTTTTCCTATTTTGAGAAGTTATTACCACAACTGAAGCCTTAAATGTTCCTATTTGAATATTTGCATGAGATCTATAAGCAATTTAAAGGTGGAAATATCAGGCATCTTTTTGGAATGCTTGGTATGCTGAGGGAGGAAAAGCAGTGTTCGGTGGGGTATCTTGAACTCTCCATCACATATTTCACATATTTTTTGAATTGGGGCTGGCAATTTGACCTTTGGGAGCCTCAGTTCAAGATTGAAGTCAACAAAGAAACTAGATGTATGTTATGTTTTAGTCTCCTTTGCGCTCTATTTCTTTAGGTAATGCAATTTTGGCCATTTGTTCAGTTTTGATTTGTGATGTCCCTGCTAAGAAACTTCTTGAATTGATCTGGATCCTCATTTATGGCACTGATAATGCTTTTCTTTTCATGCCCGAACATGATCTGGAAATGATGCGTTTCGTGCTTAACCAGTGACTTGGGAAGGATTTGTTTCATTTTTAACTCAGGCCTCACGTTTAAGGGAACCACATTATGAAAGCCTCCACACGTTTTTCTGTTTGCGATACATGAAAATTCTGTTTTGCAGATAATGTCGAATGATCAATACATAAGCGTGGAGCACAGAGTGTTGGCAAACCCTCTCCGAGATGCTCGTGTATCTGTTGCTGTTTTTCTGAAGCCAAGCATTAGTGATCAGCTGTGTGGACCTTTTCCTGAACTTGTATCTGCTGAAAAACCAGCTGTTTACAGGCAGTTCACACTGTCTGATTACATGGGAAGATTTTTCTCCAAGGAGTTGGATGGCAAGACGCTGACAAACTACTACAGAATTTGAAACACAAGAATCAGCTGTACATTGAGAAAATAATCCATTTGTATACCACATATTCCGAGGAGCAAAATTAAGTAGATTAAGAAAATAATCCATCTGTCATACGATGGTGTAAATTTCTGTCTTACAAGGTATACATGAATAGAAAGATGTCCCAAGACTTGGATGAGATACAATTGTCTTTAACATTCTTGTTTAATTAATGTGATCTCCAATTACAACTACTTGGTGTATTGTCTTGTCACAGGCTATATCTTCAATGATCCCTTTTCCGGAATCAACTGTTAAATACTCCTCAAACACAGCCAATGAAATTTCAAGTTCAATTTACAGATCCAGGTGGTGATTCAAAATGGCTATTGCCACTTACTTTGTAGGTTCATCAAAGATAATTTCCTATGAAGATCTTGCAAAAACTATGTAACCATAAATATCATTCTAGAATTAAATCTGCAGACGTTGGCTAAGATAAGTTCATATGTAGAATATCCAGCTGAATCCAAGAAGACTTTAATTAGAATGACGAAATTAAAGTTATACATCACCTGATGAATCCATTGTCTTCTTCACCAGCTTATAAGAGTGAATATCGATTGACATTTCCATACCAAAACGAAACATTGGAACCTTCATGACCAGCAACAAGTCTCCGTTTGTGGCTTCCACCAGATACAACGAAACATTCCAAAAGTCTCTATAGAAATACTCGGTTTCCAGTTCAACTTTAAAAGTAGTAACAAATTCATCTTGATAGTATTTGTAGTTACTATAGTCAATAACAGTAATTAAGGAGGAAATTTTCACGCAGCAGATATAGCATCCCTTTGTGAAAAATTATGTCCTTAACATGACGTACAATAACTTCTTCAGTCCAATACATGGTTCTTCATTGAGGATTGCGGTTGCGTCGTGATCGCAGTTGTTTCACATCCATTGCGATATATCAGATGATATGCACATTATAGCATCTCTCACAGTTGCGTCGCAGTCGCAGTTATTCACATCCGTCGCGGTATATTGGTGAACATTGGATGATATGCCCATTATAGCATCCCTTTGTGAAAAATTATGTCCAACAGGACTTTTCGTTTGGTCTTGCAAAAGCAACTTTTTCATTGTAATCTGCAGCAACAACAAAATCAACCCCCTGACATGTTGAACAAGGATCACAAGACAAAATCAGTTTACGGACCCCACCTCCGAAGATGGGAGATTGCGAACTAATCCCAGGTAAATCTATAGTCTTTCTAGTAAAGAGATTCACGAGCGCGATTGACGAATCCTCACCTTCAATAGCTAGCCAGCCATAAGATGAACGTACGATGCGAGATTTAATAGGAATTTGGAAACCATAATTGTAAACTTTACGCTCGCAAGTACTGTATAGTATGAACGTCTTGTTGCGTTGGATAGGATATGTGTTGGAGGAATTTTCTGAATCGGAAATCAAGAGCAAAGGGTGCTGCTTATTGATACTGGCGACTCTTAGTTGTTTTTGATCAAGTGCAACGGAATTCCAGGACTTGCAAACAGCCCCAAAGCGGATGTAATCAGGGAGGTGGACTAAGTTATCCAATATCGCACCAAGGAGTTCCTTTGGAAGATTAGTACTCCAGTCTCCATCTTCTTCCATGAAAGCTATAAATCTAAGGGGAACCCTGATATTGAATATGCTCAGGAAGACCTCCAGAAGGTTGAATGAATGCAAAAGAGATGGACTACCTACAATATACAGAGGATCCAAGGATTGTAAAACCAGGCTAAAGAAGGAAGTCACCGCCTCAGCTGGCCATGTTTGAAGGTTGGCTTAAACGAGTTTCCTTCTACCAGCGGGATTTTTTTCCTCTTAAATAAACTTTGGAAACAACAACTAAATTTTACTGAATGTAACTAAAATTATACAAAAGCAATGAGGATTTGGTTTACGCCATCACCTGCTAAGTTTTTGAATGGGTACTTGATTCTTTTGTTTCTTTTGGGCAGATTTGATGCTTGACATGAGACTTGGGAGAGCTTACTGCAGAAATTGGCTGATGAGTTAGGAAAGCCCGAAGTGTTATATTCTCTACACAACCAGAGTACCACAGAAATTAGCTAATGAGTTCGGAAAGTCACTCCACTCGATAGAAATTGGTTAATTATGCCCAGTTATTTAACATGATATATTAGACTTAAGCCCTGTTTGATAATTCAATTTAGCACTTAATGGATTCAAATCTTAATATATTCGGACCATTTGATAATAAAAAATTGAACATTTGAATCAATTAAATAGCAATGAATTTTCTAGACAAAACTTACTCCCAAAATTAAATGATAAATTATTCAAATGTGATATACATTCTAATGTATTAGATTTAATACTTAATAATTAAGTAAGTTAATAGATTCAGATTTTAGATTTCAATTTAATCAAACGTACCCGTAGACTACAGATTATCACCAATCCACACATGATAGAGTCAATGGCCCCGGGGAGGGAGGGTAGTATGTGGTGGTGGTGGATGATGGGTAAACGAAGAAAGAGGGGGTAGAACTTTTTTTTTTTTTAATTAGGTATATTGAAAATTTTGGAGTGTTTTAGGAGTTATCTTTATTTGTATTTGTAAAAAACAGTCAAATCCAAATGGGGTCTTAGACTCCCTTTGAATTAGCTGTTTTTTAGGGTGTTTTTAAAAAATTTTGCTGTAGCAGAATTTTTAGATTATATTTTAGAATATTTTGGGATATTTAAGAGTAGAAGAGTTTCTAGAATATATTTTGAGATATTTGTTAAAATTTTAAAAAAATTTAAACTAATTTTTAGATTACCTTTTAGAGTACTTTTTAAAAATTTTTATTGTATTTGAAAAACTAGTTTTTGAAAAACACTCCCATCCAATATTATATACTAGCTAAACAAAGCTATATCAGCTATACCAACTAATAAAACTTGTATTTTAAGGTCAAAACCTTACTCGAAAGCATAGTTGTTAAATTCTAAATCCCGTCGTTACAATCCTACAATTCTACTATATAAATTTATAAATTCATTTCTGAATCCTATTAGGACCACTAGGGTTTGTGCAATTATGGTACATTTTGTGGATTGAAGTCCATAATATGGAAGCCACTTGCAAATTGTTGGTCATTACTCGCTAGGCAAGAAACTTGAGCATTTTAGATACTCTGGCAATTTTCATATTGCAAGCGACTACTCAGAACAATGCGATATAGCTATAAGACAAGTGAAAATTAGGGGTTCATTCAACCAAGTTGCTTGCAAGCTATTGGCTAATAACAAAAAGATTTACTTGCAATCTTTTATAATTAGTAGCTCCGTCAAATTCTCAAATTCTCAGCTCAGGTCGACATTGTCAGAGTCTAAGTTCAGCTCCAGCTGCACGATTAGCTGAGTATGACTCTTTACACTGTTCTTCTGCGATATACATTTCGAATTCAGCACCAAGTGTAAAACTGTAACTGCTGATCCAAGTTACTGAGATGGAAAAAAGTTAACAGGTATAATGTTCTTTTTCTTGTGCATGCTCACAGGTCGCTATGTTTCTTTTCTCAAGGCATTTATCAATGCCACATGAAGTTTCTTGCACTCCACATACATCCAATGAAGATTGATCCAACCCAATCATGTTAGATTGTCCCATTTTTGTGAGTAATGAGACATCAGCTAATAGAGTGCAAGGTAATAATACACCTCCAACCACCTCTACATAAAGGATCATGCATATAGGCATTTGTTGATTGCGTGCTCTAGATTCACTTTCTTATATAGACTAGATCACTCAAACCAACAGTAGGAAATGTCTAGGCCAAGTGTACGTTGTAGTTGTCAGTTATGTCTTTGGTTGATCCCTGTCCGCGCATATGATTTCAGACCGAAATCTCTTTCACTTTCCAGTACAAAGTCTTCATTGTTTTGCTCAGTTGTCTCTTCTGCGTCCAAACCACTCAGCCATCTCTTCATCGTCATCCAACTGAAGCAACTCTCTACTGTCCCGGGTGATGGAAGATTTGAAAACACCAGCATTTTCCTTTGCCTTTGCAGCACTTCTGCTCTGCTCAGCCATTTCCTTTCTCCATCTCTCTTGCTTCTGAACATTCTGGGACAAGTCACTCTTACCACACACCAAAGGAAAGTCAACAAATCCTGGAGCCTCATCTAGTGAGTTTGATCTATGTTGGCCTTCAGTTTCAACAAATTTTATTACATCACTTTTTTCATCTCCACATTGCTTCTCTTGCCCAAAATAAGGGCGTGTACGACGATATGGCATATGGTCACTGGCAGATGGAGATGGTAAGGATGAAGAATTCGAAGCTTTCGGTCTTTTATGATCGCATTTTAAGCATACCATATTTCTTCTAAAATTTATGTAGTTACACCTGGAAAGTAACGAAATCCAATTATAAGAACAACAGTAAATCAAAATTATAAAACTTCATTAAACTATCTGGAAATAAATAACTTACGATTCACATTCCCACTCCCCAGGAATGAGTTGTCGACCTGATGGCTTCTCTTTACATTGTAAACACCTTGTATTTTTTGCAAAATTCAAAAAATTGCACCTGTAAAAATATTGAGCCACATAAGAAGGAGAAAGTACAAAGAAAAGCATATGGTTAAACAAAGTATAAAGTACTTTGACCAGAAGCAGGCTTGTAAAATAGTTCCTTACTTCTCACATATCCAGTCTCCTTTCTTTAGTGGAAGATGATCTTCGTTCTCGCCAAGTTTCTGTAGTCTT